AAAATAGTGCAGAAATTAAGTACAGAATTAATAGTTAGTAAATAAAGAGTACATCAAAAACTCAATATTTTTTATATGATTTTCGGTGAAAATAGATAACAAAAGACTATATTCTGGACATTAAACACAAAATATAATGCATTAGTTGTTGAGATTTATGATTGCTTTCCAACAGATATATAGACTTAACAAACAATTAGATGTATAGAGAAGTCTCTACTTTGAGTGCAATGAATGGATTCATTGGATCTAATATTTTCTATATTTGTGTTGTTTTGATGTATTTGCAGCCAATGGAGCATCACTTGTATCGCATCCAGTGATGGACACAAATAAACTGTTGTTACAGTTGTTGTGCACCAGTAGTGCAATACTCGCATGGATTGCATCCAAACATTTATCACCATTTTTTAGTACCAATACTTCAATCACTACTTCCTCGCAAACTATTACTACAACTCAGACAACAACTAATGAAACAAAAAAAACGACCAAAACATGTAATCCATTAATTCGTTCATTAATTGCTAAACAATAGCAACAAATATTAATACATCAGTGGATGAGCCTCTATGACTACTTTGTAAAAGCAAATTGTTATCTAACTATTCACTGGAATAGTATTTTAAAGTTTTATAAAAATATAAATTCTATTCACTTTAATTAGAAATAATTTTTTTGTGAAGTCAGTTTTGCACAAATAAATATGTAAACACAATATAAAAATTTTAAATAAATATTTGTGATAAAAACTTTTTAGCGTTTGTTTTATTAGACTAAATGAGTGGAAGTGCTGTAGTTTACAGAACATGTAAACCAATTGTACATTTGTTGAAATAGTTTCAACAAAAAATGAGTGCAAATTAGTGAGAATACGTGACTCGCACTCAACATCTCATAAAGTATTTCATTACAATCAATGGACACTAAAATGGGTAACAATTATAGACACTTGGACTCAGCATTAAATAAACGTTTTAAGATTTTATTAATTTATAAAGTGTGTGTAAAATAAATTTTATTCATTTATTTTTAACAAGACAATTATGGGATTATTAAATGAATATCATACCTTATTTTATTAATCTTTTAAAGAAATAAATTCCAGACAAAAAGTATTGATTTTGATATAATAAAATGATCAATAATAATCTTATAGTTTATTATAAGACTATCATTTATTGAGAAACCAATCTGTAGACAAACTTCAATCTGAAGTCACATTAAATAAATGGATATTAATTTATAAAGTGTGTGTAAAATAAATTTTATTCAATTAGTTTTAACAAGACAATTATGGGATTATTAAATGAATATCATACCTTAATTTATTAATTTTTTAAAGAAATAAATTCCAGACAAAAAAGTATTGATTTTGATATAATAAAATGATCAATAATAATCTTATAGTTTATTATAAGACTATCATTTATTGAGAAACCAATCTGTAGACAAACTTCAATCTGAAGTCACATTAAATAAATGGATATTTCTATTATGACTTCTATTATGTAATGCTATTATTTTAATTTGAGGCTTTACTTCATAGAAATAGTTTTAATATTTGTAATGAAATGGACATTATTTCAAATTAGAAATTGAATTGAATTTTATTACAAATAATAAGAAACAAATATAAAACAAAAATGTATTAAAACCCTTAAATAATTCTTACAAAACTAAAACAAATTAATTGAAGGTTTTATGTGTTGAGTGATAGGAGGGCTAACTTTTCTATCTTTAATGAAATTCTTATTAAATTTAACCACAAATAGGAAAAGTGCCACTAATTTGTACAAAATGATTAAACAGATTGAGTGAAAAATATTCGGCCAAAAGTCATCATCGCTTATATCCATAGCATATAAGACAACAGAGATCTCAGTGTCAGAGCACCGGTCGAACCCATAGATCATAATAAGGATGCACTCGAAGGGAGGCTTTATGAACGACAACTCACACATCCATTGTATGGCATAATGTAGATCTTTGACGGATATAACAGTGTTGTCGAACACACTTCCGATTATTATGAAACTCAGTGATACAGTAATTGCAGTATTGATGTCTTTATTGAAAATAATAGCCGATATTTGTGACAAACTTTGTGATGAAGTTATTATAAACAAATTGGCGAAATAGTAAATGAAGTATATTTGCATAGAGCTGTATAAGTTGGTTATCCAACTAAATGGTACTAAACATATAATAATGGGTATAATATCGACAATAGTTTTGGCCCAGAAATATGCACCACAACTATACCAGCCTGTAACATTAAATGTTTTATTGTAGTAGATTATTATTTTAAATGAAGTGTAAAAAATTAAATTTAATATTATAATAATAAATAACTAATTCTGAATATCTATGAAAAAATATAATGAATAAAAATTTGATACCATTTTGATGTTCTCTATTAAACACGAGAAGATCGGAGCAAAATGTGGCCGACATTACCACTACTATAACGCTGACTATAGACACGGCGACCAATAGATTATATTTGATATTCTGTTGAATATATGTTTCATCCAAAAGCTCGTCTAATGTCTTATTACATGTATTTCCTGATGTGAAGTCCACTTCCAGACATCCATTGGGTTTAATCATATCCCAGTTGTAGTGAATTAATATAATAATTCCCAATAACTGATAGATAATGCACTGGAATAACAATGATTTCCAGTTTGACACATATGTGTAAACCATAGTTCGCTTTAATATAATACAGAAATCTTTTAAACTAAATCTTTTTGACA